ACTGATGTCCATTTAAACATAGTCAGTGTTGACTCATCCAATAGATTCGTAAGCTCATCAGAAACAGGTGTGATTGTTTAAAATGCTCAACCCTGCAAAACACGTAAAGAGAAATCTGATGCAGGGAGAGCAGATCTAAATGCAATGGTGCAATCAACGTTTCTCATTAATTTTCACATTTTACTTTTAATTGGGACAGCCGTGATAGATTTAGTTTATTGTGCAGAGGTGTTTTGTTCCCCTTTATTGTGAATTTGTTCATTTCGAGTCCATGTCCATTTCCAACCAAGGTTTGTACAGAACAAAACTACATAATTTTGTGATCAAAATTCAGAGCTTAACATTTGAATTGACAACAAATAATGCTTTGCTAGTCATTTATTGTATTTTATTTATTTATTTATTTTTGTTTGTTTATACATGTTTCCCTGAGAAAAGCGGTATTTGTGTTTTGTTGGCCCTAGCAACCGGTGCTGGTTTAAATACATTGCCATAGCACATTGTCACGTGACCGTCAACCTAAATGTTTACACAGGCCTTGTGTTTCACCTTTGGTTTAGGATTTCAGTAGCTTAGTCGGTCACAACAGGGGAACTGGGTAGTACAAAGGGCGAGTGCGACCCATGGGAAAAGACATCCTGTCAGTGTCCCCTACCAAGGGCTCCAATTTTTTGCTATCATTACCAAGGGAAATTCCATCATCTTTCTTGTGTTAGCTTAAAATAGGACAGCCTCGATCGAACAAACACACATATAGAGCTAATAGTTTGTTTAAAAGCACTTACTGCAGTTTCCTCACTTTTATTTCTAGCTTACCTCCCATTGTATAGCTGTGTTTCAGTGTGTAGGGCTCATGTAGTTTGAAGCTATTATCATTCAGTGTTTTGCTCACATCGAATACGCTTTGTTGTTTGAGATAATTACATTACATTGTCCCTAGTCTCATGGATTTATTTAGATTCATTCAAATGTAGTTTAGACACAGTCTACATATTTTATGATTTCCTCAGTACATTTTAGGTTTATCACAACCACTATAATGATTCTGTTAGACTAATTAATAGTCATTTTGCAAATTACTTTAAAAAGACTTTGTCATGCCAATATTGAAAATATGTTTTAGTTTCTGTTATATTGGAACCAGTTTCCCTGAAAACTCTAAATCCAGTTGACTTGTGTTTACTCTGTGGGTTGATAAGGAGTCTGCTGTCCACCAGAGCACACGTGTCCTGACTCCACCCACCATCTCAGTGTCTGCCTGTATTTACTCGCAGAGCAGATAGATACACCAGAGATCCGAACTGAAAGAGTCTTCCCAAAACAACACTAGCTAATACATGATAGTTTTTAATGAGTTACCGCTGAATTTGTTCTGAATGCATTTATCCAATCGTTCTGTTGCCCGGAGGAACTTGAGTAGTTGCCCGTGTGTTTTAATCATTTCTTCAGCATGTGGTAAAAGGATGGGAAAGCTCCAGTGAGGGTTTCCTCACCACTGTCTGACATAAAGGATGACTTTAGGTGGTTTGGCGACTGCTTTAAGCACCTCCACAGAATGCCTGTCTACACAAAATGGAATACAAATACTGCTGCAGAGTGGACTAGTGTACCAGGACAACATCAACCGGTTGTAAGTTAAAAAAATACCAGAATATGTTTATGTCTGAATATGTCTTTTATTTTCTTTTGCACATTTCAAAGTCCCTTTTATCTTTCTTTTTTTTCTATAATAATTTCTCTTTTTATTTCTTTTATTTTGATTATTTCTTTTCTTATTTCTTTTAATTGATTCTTTATTTAATTTTAAGTTAATAGTTTTATTAATTTCAGTTCTTCTTCTTATTTTTTTTTTACTCTCACACACACACTAATTCCAAAGTTCAGTTATATTGCGATTCCATTGAGCTTTTTATCTGTGATGACTAAATACTGTTTTTCCTGTAATGAAGGATGTTCAGTTTATCAAGGAACCAAATATAAACTATATTCGGATGATTTTTCAGTCTGAGAAGCAAGTATGTTGCGTATGTTGTGTCACATGGTGATAGAGACAGTCAAAACAAACAAAGAATAGTCTTACACCTTACATCACTCCTACACCATCTTCCTGTCCTCAGTAGACAGGAAGTCCTTGCCACACACGTTTGTATCATTATGCAAAAACAAAACATTCATTCCATTTAAGCATACTGCAGACCACACAATCTCTTTTTAAGTGTGGAAAAAAATCTTAAATTTGACCAGTGCTTGTATATATACGTATATAAGGATAGTATTGTTGCAAAGTGTGATCTGAGGCTTTTTTTGTCTTTACATAAATATTGTTATTAAGCTGTTATATGTACAGAAACCCTCTCAGAAACATTCTTTTGAATATGCAGACTGTCTTGATTCATATAAATCAACAAGATCAAAATGGATTCAGAAATGTGCAGGGCTGCTTTCAATAATGACTCAATCTTGATGCTGTCAATGCACACACATTGATGGAGTGTTCGGTTCACCATTACACGTTTATCACCTCGTCTTTCTTTCTTTCCCCTCCCTTTTCCTGCTGTAACACACAAACCACTGCTTAAATGAAACCATGTGTGTTAGTATTTCGTTGTACAGTGCGAGCAGACAGACGACCGTAGATTGAAGTGTGGTTGGACAGTTCTTGACCCCTGTCAAACGGTCACTTTATTTGTGTGGTATTCTGAGTTTGTTAGTTACTGTGGTGGGCATTCATGGAATAGTTTGCACATTTCAAAAATTGTTTTCCAGGGTAGAAGGATTTTTGGGATTTAACTGGGAACTTCCTCATTGAATCTATTCAGATTGCTCACTCACTCTCTGAACCACAGGTTATGATGTCCCACTCCAAATGATCCAAGAACAGTTACTGTGTTTGTTTTCTTCTTGAAGCCAATATATTTAATCATTCATTCACCGTCCTGCTCTTACAAACCTGTATACCTTTCTTTCTTCCATGAATTATGAAAGTACTTCTTTTTTGTCCATATAATGAAAGTGGAAGAAAGCTGTCCAGCTCCAAAATGACAACAAAAAAAATTCTAAAAGTTTTCTTTATGTATTCTAGTTTTCTGAAGCCATTCAGTAAGTTTGTGTGATGAACAATCAGAAATTTAAAGACAAATTCAAAAATGTCACAACTTGATCTTCTGGTGAAACAACAGGTCACATTTATATCTGCCTCCATCCAATCAACAACACCAATGGATGTTGGATGGAAGCAAGACCCCATCCAATATTTTTTCTTTTTGATAATCAGTTTTACTTGTCACAATACAGAAGAAAAGGACATATAATATTAAATCACAAATAAATAAATAAATCACAAACACAAATTGTCCCGTTAGATTACTGACTGGTTTATATGACCTTCAACCATAACACGTTGTTAAAATGCGTTGTTAAAATCCATATTCTCATAAATAGTAATTTATATATTTTTTATATTTATATTTTTTTAATACATGTTGAATTAATATGTGTGTGTGTATACATATATATTTTTAATACAAAAAATTGTGTATTGATATATTGTTAATATTTAGGAAGCTCTTGGGACAAATAGGCTGCAAAAACAAAATCTTATAAGAAACAATCCTTTATAGTAGTTATAAAAAATAACGCAACAGGTTCATGATTAACATCAGATCATTAAAGAGATGCGACAGACTTTAGACACTGTCCCATAATACTTCATTCTCACTCTTTCAAGCCAACCCACAATAACACCCTCATAAAAAGACATATGGTGACGCACATGACTCAAAACAACAGGCACACATGCGCTAAATGAATCCGTGCCTCTCACTTCTCTGTTCTCTCTGCTATTCACACTCGCTCTTGTTTTACAATCTGCATAGTCTGAATGTCATTGATTGGAGGGAGATATGTTGCATGGGATTATTCAAAGAACAGAAACTCGCACACACAGATCCTCCAGCTGTCACAGTGATGGGGAACAGAGTGTTCTTGTTTGCGTCCTGCACAGAGAGTTCGGTGTGTGAGCTAATGTCCTCAAAAAGGAGTCCTCCCATATTCCCCTACTGAACTCAGTGTCTCATGTTCCACTCGGGATGTAAAACCCATCAGAATTCATAGAAAAGATAGAAATAACACGGTGTTTCTTTCACACACTAGACACAGTTAAGATGGATATCTTCCTCTCATGGCTTGTTTAAGAATAAACTGATTTCTAAATGCATGCAACTACTTTTAAAATTTCACAAAATAACCTCTGAGAAATACACCAGCATAATTAAATAAGTTTAAGCATTTGTTTTTCTGTTCTGTAGATTTTTAGGTTCTGTCTCTTCATTTTAATTTGGTTTTAATGTGTTTTGGTGACATCTTACTATTGTGGTCATATAGCAACCTTTGCATGTGCAAGCACTCTTCAAAAGATGTAAACATATGTTTGTATTGCAAAATATTACAGTGTAAATTATGTTAAGATAGTAACAAAACAAAAAAAAACTAAGTTTAAAATGCATACACCACCGTTTAAAAGTTTGGGGTCCGTAAGATTTTTTAAATGTTTTTAAAAGTCCCTTTTGAAACATTATCTAAAGTACCTGTTACACAAAAATACAGTAGAAACAGTCATTTTGTCAAAAATGATTCCAGTTTAAAATAACTGTTGTCTATTTTGATGTGTTGTAAAATGTAATTATTCCTGAGATTGCAAAGAGATTGCATTGTCACATGATCATTCATAAATCAAACTCATATTGAAGATTTTTTTTTATTATTATTATGAATGTTGAAAACAGTTGTGCTGCTAAATATTTTTGTTTAAACTGCACTTTTTCAGTATTCTTTGATAAATAGAAATATAAATCATTTATTTTAAATAGAAAATCTTTTATGACGTTATGGTCTTTACTGTCAAAAAAAAAAAACATACTGACCCCAGACTTTGGAACGGAAATGTATATATATTCAGATATACACTATATTTCAATTTCTCTCTCTTTCTCTGTCCTCAGCATCAGTGAAAGCTTCCTAACAGTAAAAGGTGCTGCCCTTTTCCTTCCACGTGGGAATGGCTCCTCTTCCTCCTCCTGCTCCTCCAGAATCACAGCACAGCGCAGCAAACATGCAGGTCAGGGCATCCGTTAGACAACGTGCAAAATGGGCAATAAATAGAATGTGAATATTAATAGTTAATGAATGATTTGAACTTTTGGAGCAGGGGACCTTCAGCAGCACCTGCAGACAATGTTCACATTACTGCGGCCAGAGGACAACATCCGTCTGGTGAGCACCACACACACACACAGTAACTAGCTCAACCTAGTGAGCTGCCCATGGAGGGCACATTTTTGGGCACAGTTTGGCCAAAATCAGCCCACACTACATTGAATCCTTCACATACAAGAAGAATCCAAAATGTGGAAAATGTAAATCATAGCATAAAAAGTCAAAAGGCTTATCTAAAGTACTGATGCTATGTTTTTTCTAAATGAATTCTCTCTTCCTACAGGCTGTGCGGTTGGAGAGCGCTTTTCCACAGTGCACCCGTTACATGGTGGTGGTCTCCGCTAATGGCAGACAGGACACAGAAGAGAGTGTGGTGCTGGGCATGGACTTCAACCCCTCCGACAGGTTTGCATGTGCTGCTTCTTGTACTGTTAAGTTAAACCAATCAAATATAGTAACAACAAATAATTACATTTTGTGTTCGTTGCAGTTCCTGTTCCATAGGGATGGTGCTTCCTTTGTGGACTGACACACGGATCCACCTGGATGGTGACGGGTATGTGTGACAAATCTGTTAAAAACTGACACATCTATTTCTCCTGCAGGTAGTTCAGAAAGTGTTTCACTCCTCTATTTTCTTCACAGGGGTTTCAGTGTGTCTACAGATAACAAGATACACGTATTCAAGCCTGTATCAGTCCAAGCCATGTGGTGGGTGCCTTTCCCTTTTTTCCTGAGATTCATTAAAGGAGACATATTATGCCCCTTTTTACAATATGTAATATAAATCGCTGGTGTCCCCAGAATGTGTCTGTGAAGTTTCAGCTCAAAATACCCCACAGATCATTTATTATATTATTTTGAAAATGCCTATTTTGAGTGGAAGCAGAAACACGCTGTTTTCCGTGCATGTCTCTTTAAATGCAAATGAGCTGCTGCCCCCTTTTCCAGAATAGAACTGCGCAATTACAGCTCGTACCTGCTAAAAAAAAATTTTTGGTTCTGATTATCATGTTTATCGCACTGAAATCATGCGTTTTAAACAATATTAATTTAAACTTCTGATAAATGGTTTTCTGAGTGCACACGCACAGAAAGCGGCTGTCACAGCATGTGAGTACTAAATTAAGTTCTCATTCACACACAAGTTTACGTTAAAAACACACAAGTTACAAAAACAGTCGGTTATGTCTGTGAAGGTAAACAGCTGGGAAATAAATTGCATGTTTATTTTAGATCTGTGTGGCAACAGCAATATACAGTAAATAAATCAATAAATCCACTGCTCTCTTGTCTCCTCTGAGGCTGGGACTCTAAATAGTGATCTGTGCTCGTCTGTGCAGCCAAAGACAGAACAGTTAGCGTGTTTTGCTCAAACTTTCGCCATGGCATTAGAGCTAGTACACCGTTGTTGCTTGCGAAATCAAAATGATGGCGCCGTGGGTGGAAACTTACAGATTAAGGGGCAGTAATATTATAATAAGATCCCTTTGCAATGTCACTAGACCAGAAAAAGGCTTACCAAAACAAAGTTACTGGGTTAATCTTTTTCAGGTTTTCTTGGTTGGTTGATGCACCGGGGACCTGATTATAGCACTTAAAACCTGGAAAAGTCAGATTTTCATGATATGTCACCTTTTAAATAGTTTTTAAGAAATTAAAGTTTTCCATTTTCTAAATTGAAAATAAAGAGCTTTTTTGAGGTTTCTGATGGACATTTTCACTTGCTGAAATTTTGGTGCGTGAATATTTTGAACACTTTTACTGAAAATTATTATTATTATGTTTTAATCAGATATTTTAAAAAATAGTCATAGTCAAAAGATATTTGCCCTCTATTTTTTGAAAAATTGTATTGTTCCACTAACTTATTTTTTATTATTTATGTTTTGTTACGTATTTGATTTTCATTAAAATAAACTGTATGCATTTATGGTTAAAAAAAAATATATAGATTTAGGGTTCGTACGGTCATGAAAAACCTGGAAAAGTCATGGAATTTTAAAACAGCAATTTCCAGGCCTGGAAAAGTTTTGGAAAAATAAATAAACCCAGAAAGTTTTGGAAAAGTCATGGAAATCTATTTCACAAAACTTTGTATAATAGAATTGTGTTTAATCAGGTTCTGAATATCGGTGCGGGATGGCGCATATTAAGCCTATATCGCATAGTTTTACTCATTCCCGCAGCTTTTGACTTTAAAATGATGGCTATTCACACATTTATTCAATAGTCTATAGCATACAGGTTTGATGAGTAAATAAATCCACACAGACTGATCAAATCAGTCATTTGAAAACAGCATGAGTGATTCAACTGTACTGCGTCTTCTCTCTTTGATTTTCTCTTCAAACGGCTTCACATAGGCGCATCTTGTCTGTGCTACAAGAGCCGCTGCACGCTGCGATAAAAGACAGAATTGTCACTTGCCTAATCGGGTCATTGTTGCATCGTCACAAAATTGTATTATTTATTTGCAAGTCTTTTTAAGCCATTCGGTACTCGCCCACTCCAGAGGTGGTGCGCAGTCTCATCCAAAGCGTGCGTGCGTATATAAAGCCTTGTGAGTACCAAATTGAGTTTGCTACCAAACAAGCTCAGTAGAACCCTGCACGGGCCTCAAACATATGCCCTAGTCCGGCCCTTGCCCGACAGATTATCAGAATTACCGGCCGTTAATTTGTAAATATGTTTGGAACATTTTTTTGTTTGTTAAATTCAAGTTTTTGTTTTTTAAAGTAACGACTAAGCGGCCAGTGGCAGACAGTGAGTTAATCATAGCCTATGTTTGATCAATTTAGCCTTCTCAAATCATCACCACTTGACTAAAATAAAATCTATAGACCTATATAAAATACTTAAAAAAGCATATCACAATGTTAGTTTAAATGGTTAACTAACTAAATGTGTGCTAGGCGCGTATCCAATCGTTTGTGCAGAGAAGCTAAAGCGCACTTTGCAGGACATGGAGTCGCCAGCGCGATCACTTGCATTTTTTTCTTATAACAGTAGAAACAACTGTCATTTTTGCTCATAAAGGTAAGAGTAATACATCATTCGGGACTGTTAAGAGTCTACTTTTGTTTGTGTGCACTCTCAATATCAGCATACGTTGTGCTTTTTCAGAAAACAAACACGATGCGCCTTTCTGCCGTCTCGGTCAGCAGGAGCGCTTCACAAAAATTAACCGAAACTCAGCAAATATTCTATTTCCCGTGACACATTCATCATGGTAATTACTTGCTGGGGTTTTGCGGCAAGCTTTGCATGCGCCTTAACGTGGAACTCTTCCGGCACTCGCTGCTGCTGCTGCTGGACACTAAACACCGTCCGAGCCGCTCTTGACAGTCGCGGTAGCACGGTCTCCTGTTGTTTCCACCAGCGTGGCAAATCTTTTTCATCACCATAATAATTGATGGATACCTAAAATATAAAAATAAGGAGGAAGTAAGCCCGATCGGGCTCGGCCTGAGCAGCAAAAAATTCAGCTTTGCCATCACAGGAATAAATTACATTTTAAAATGTATTAAAATAGAAAAGAGTTATTTTAAATAAAAATAATATTTCACATTTTTAGAGTTTTAACTGTATTTTGTAATTTATGTACTTTTGGAAAAACATAAAAAAATATTTCCAACCCAAAACTTTTAAACAGAGACAATGACCCTAAGCACACAGCTAAAATAACGAAGGAGTGGCTTCACAACAACTCTGTGACTGTTCTTGAATGGCCCAGCCAGAGCCCTGACTTAAACCCAATTGAGCATCTCTGGAGAGACCTAAAAATGGCTGTCCACCAACGTTTACCATCCAACCTGACAGAACTGGAGAGGATCTGCAAGGAGGAATGGCAGAGTATCCCCAAATCCAGGTGTGAAAAACTTGTTGCATCTTTCCCAAAAAGTCTCATGGCTGTATTAGATCAAAAGGGTGCTTCTACTAAATACTGAGCAAAGGGTCTGAATACTTAGGACCATGTGATATTTCAGTTTTTCTTTTTTAATAAATCTGCAAAAATGTCAACAATTCTGTGTTTTTCTGTCAACATGGGGTGCTGTGTGTACATTAATGAGGAAAAAAAAATTTACTTAAATGATTTTAGCAAATGGCTGCAATATAACAAAGAGTGAAAAATTTAAGGGGGTCTGAATACTTTCCGTACCCACTGTATGTTTATTGCAGCGTGCACAAGCAAGAAAAATCCTGTCTTCATGATATGGACAATTTAAAATGAACAAAACTGCCAGTGAGTTCTTGATAGTTATTTATACCACAGCTGACATTTCTGTCATTTTACAGTCTTATACCTCAAGCTGTCATGTATATACTGTAAATAATGTGTTACTATGGTCAATATTCACTTAGCTGATAAGAGCAGAGGGTGTGAAATCAGACAAATGTGCTGTGAGTGACTCTGTGCTCACTTGCAGGACTATGTTATAATTCATTAGTAGTTTGCATCGAAAACAGCATTTTTTTTCACCAAAATGTTAATAGTGCACAGAAGAAAAAAATACAGAAAACTAATTTAATGCAACACAATCAGTTATTCTACTTAGATTACTTTTAATAATTAAAATCAGTTTTTCGTAATATCAAATAATTTATCAGCAACCAAAATATATTGTGAACCTCTAGTTATTTTATACCTTGCTATTTTCAGTAGTTAAGATTTGTTTACCCAACCTTTCCTTTTCTCCATACTAGCAAACAGAGACACAATAAATTGTGGCGTTCCCACTCGGATAGTGATCTGTCAGAGCACCATGAGCCACTCTGTAAAGCCACTGCTGCACAGTCTCTCGGACGCTCCAATTCCCGCAACCAGACCTTCAGCCAGACGTCACCCTCATTGCAGGATTTCCTGCAAACTCTCACACCCACCTCAGCCAGTGCTACTGAAGCTAAGGAGCGGACCAAGTCTAAAACGACATCCTGGCCAGATACCCACATTTACAATGGCCTGGGGAACCCAGATGACAACCTCCATGAACCCACAGAGATGCCTTCCCTCCCCAGACCCAGGGCTGCCACTGTGGTCCCAGAAGCCAGATCCGATGTCACCTCCATGACTATTGCAGAGACTGTTCCATTGGGTCGTCCTCATTCACCCGCCGCTGTACATAACCCACCCTCATCCCCTAGGCTTCTCTCAGATGCAAAGGCCAAGCAAGGTCTGTCTGAGCAGCCTGAGGTGTCTGATCTTGTGCCTTTGGAGAAGTCTAGTCCAAAGGTGCTCTCATCTGTGAGTGTTAGGAGTAGGACTCCTGAGCCATGCATGCAGACCCCGGACTCTTCAGGGCTGCAGGATCTCAGCCAGCAAGTGCCTGACACGGGGACGGACTGTGCGGGGCTAAGTTACAGCAGTGATGAAGACCACCACCCCAGTGCCACATTACACAGAGCTGGGCTCTCGACCACCCCTCCCTTGACTCTAAGCACAGACCGCATTGACTTCTTCAGTGCCAGAGAGAAGTTCCAGGGCCTTTCTCAAGAGGGTCAGATCCGTGGGACTTCTGAGCAGGCGGTGCAGCAGACACCTCGGGACAAAAGCCCAAGTATAGAGACAAAGCGGCTACTTTCTGACAACCCTGTCAAAGAGGAGGAACAGAAAAAGGTAAGGTGGTATTGAAAAATTGTGGGAATGTGTAGTTTTGGAAACTTCCCTAATAGGGATTGATAGTTTCATCATTTATTCACTCTCATGTCATTCCAAGCCTGTGCAACTTTCTTCTGTGGAACACAAATGAAAGATACTTGAATAATAAAGATATTTAAATAATGCAGGTTTGAAACAACACAAGAGTGAGTAAATCATGACAGCATTTTGGGTGAAATGTCCATTTAACCCAACAATGCTATAATTGTGTCTAATTTCTTAAAAGGATAGTTCACTCAAAATGCACAAATTAACAAAGGAGTTTATTTACTTTTATGTTAATTCTCAATTAAATAAGTTAAACCTCTATGAATGACTATAAATTCTTATTTAGACAGTAGGACAAAGCTTTGAATGCATCTGTCTTGATATTATGTTATCATCCTGCAGCAAGGGAATAATGTTCCTGAGAGTAAGTGCCAAACTTTATTAAAATCAGGTTCCGTTCCCATACTGTGTCTCACCACAATCATGTTTGAATGAAGTCATGTCCCACACTGCCACCCACTGTTGATGAGAAACGTTGCATGGAATCCTGCATCTGTCATGGTGTTGATCAGTCTGTTGCAGTTGCATTCAGTTTTCATGCACAATTAGAGTAAAAGGTGAAGTGTGTAATTTTTTGATGGTAAAAAACTTACCATTTCAGTTTAATGTCCCTGTTTAAACTAAAAGTATACCAGTCATATATTAACACTAGTTATAAAAAGAAAAACTGAAATATCACATGGTCCTAAGTATTCAGACCCTTTGCTCAGTATTTAGTAGAAGCACCCTTTTGATCTAATACAGCCATGAGTCTTTTTGGGAAAGATGCAACAAGTTTTTCACACCTGGATTTGGGGATCCTCTGCCAAGGCAGCAGATGTCTTGTGTTCATTTCTGGGAGGCCAGTCATTTGACATGCTTTGGCTCCTGCATTTCAAAATGACCAGATAAACATGTTTTCTTTTATTCTCTAAGTGAACTATTCAGTCACACGACTCGTTGACGCTTTTTTTTTTATACGCATCTAGCAATTTATTCCACCACCCAGAGTACCATAGCAATTACATAGTAACTTATTGGCAACTACCAAACACCTTAGTATCAAGGCTGTGAGGTGAAGCACCACTCACATTTGTGCAATTCCACTTTTTGCTGCTAGAGGCATAGAAATTGTACACTTCACCTTTAAAACACAAAATAATGAAGGTACATATTCAATACAAATAACCACGCTATGTCCGTTTTTCTGCTACAGGAGAGCTGCAGTGTCTCAGTCCATAACACAGTTTCAGAAAAGGAGTCCATACGGCACAGTGTAACCCCTCCCCCCCCTCCTATCAGCCAACCTGTTTCCAGTAGCAGCAGTGAAGAAGAGGAGTTCACACAAGCCACATCAGCGGAAGCTGAAAAGGAGAAGGTGGAGCATGGGAAGGACCAGCAAAGCGACTGGCCAAAGGGCACCGTGCGCCGAGCCACCAGGGAGCTTGAGCAGAAGATCAAGCAGGAGGTCTCCTCAGCGACACTGGTGTCCTCGGCCCCCGCGTGTCCCTCGCGACGCTCCCCCGTCAACACCAGCAGCAGAGAGAAAACTGAGGAGACCTCATCCCACACACACCTCACACCTGATCCAAGCACTGTGTCAACACGCCATCACCAGCCTCAGAACAACACGGATAAGGTGGAGAAAGATGAGAGTCTTTCGGCTGATGAGGACAGAACGGGAAGAGAGAGCGAGAGACGACTCCGGGAGGGAGAGCGCATGAACACCGGCCTCACGCACTCAAGACAAAGCCATTCCATTTCATCTAGCTCCTCTCTGGCCATGGTTCTACAGCTGGAGGGAATCACCGAGCAGGAGAGTTACACAGACTCCCACTGTCCGCCAGGACGCTGTCCAAAATACATGAGGGAAACCTGGGAGACCCTGAAAGAGCTCGGGGCGTTCCTCTGGCAGGTGAGTGGCTGCTCGGACAGGCGGCTCAGCCAACCGTGGTCCAGAAGGGAGCATAGAAAGGGCCGGGCTGCGCGAGAGAGGACCAAAGAGGTGGAGGCTCGGATCCGGCAGGCTGGCCTGACCCCACCCTCAATGATGAAGCGCTCAGCCTCGTTGGCCAAACTGGGGTCTTTGGAGCTCTCGCCTGTTGACCTGAGCGAGCTTGACTTAAGTCCTGTCTTACTCTCTGCTCCCACCAGTAAGCCACGTTCCCACTTGTTTAGTGATGATACCTCAAAAAAGAAACGCGTTTTGCCCCATTGCACTCCTGCTCTCCCTTCCTTTTCTGCCTCTCTTGTTTCTTCCACTGGATCTCATATGCTCGGACACGCAGAGAATGATGATGAGACTGAAGAGGCAGAATATAGTGACTGTGATGTCGTGCCCATGCCACTGCCACTCTCCCCACCCTCCAATCAGTGTTGGAGGCCGGATAATGCACAGGAGGCAGCAGGTTACGCCCCGTTGCCTCCTCCTGCCTTCATACCTGTGGCAACACGCCAACAATATGGGAGGACACATCCCCTGCGGAGGCTGAAGAAACGGACCATTAACCCTTACCACACTATGTGACTTTTATTCTGTATGTGTGAGTGTACGTGCGTTTGTGCCTGCCAGTGTGAGTTTGTGATTAAAGAGAGAGTTCACCCAAAAATGAAAATTCTGTCATTTACTCACCCTCTTGGTTATCCAGACCTGTATGACTTCTTCTGTTGTGGAACACAGAAGAAGATATTTTGAAAAATTTCTTTTTTTCCCCCTTAAAATTAAAGTCAGTGGGGTCAGATTTTGGACCCCATTGACTTTCATTGTACGGACAAAAACATTCTTCAAAATGTATTTTGTTTTTCCACAGAATACACAAAGTCATACGGGTTTTGGTTGACATGAGGGTGGGTAAATGATGACAGAATTATCATTTTTGGGTGAACTATCCGTTTAAATTGCCACGCATACCTCAGTGGGCCTTATCCAACTGGAAATCAAACAATGTGGATATTTTAGAGCACAATGTGATTTGAATGTTTTTGGTGGGGTTCATGGCCCATAGAATAGGAATCATGTAATCCTGACCCATCATTTGAGTAGAAAACAATTGCTGCTCTTAACGTACAATGAAATGTTATGACTGATATACTTTTTGCACAGTGTCTTATCAGGTCATTCTTTGCATACTATGGTAATACATTACCATTTCATCCTTTATGTTGTCAGTCTATTAACGAAAACACAATGTTCTCTACTGAATTGGATTCTGGAGGTGTGTGTGTGTGAGTGTGTGAGAGAGAGAGAGAGTGTGTGTGTGTGAGAGAGAGTGTGTTAAGGGTTGAAGGAGAGTCATAGATGAGTATGTTTAAATGCATTCAGAAATGAGTGACATGTAATTGTGAGTGTAAAATTATTACAGATGTGAGATTATTATGTGTGTGCATGTTGGTTTTAATGAGAATGGGATCAGTTCTGTGGTATTTGTAGAATGTAGAGGCTTCAGTCTGTGTATGTATATTTTTGTGGATGTGTATGATATGTATACTTTACCATGGGTGTGTGCATTTTCTGTCTGTTTCTGACTTCGGTGCAGTTTCTTCCTTCAGAATTTTCTGTTTTGTCAAAGATGACAAAAAAGAGACGAGGTGGAATTTAATATGCAGTTTTTATTATTGTTTTAAGTTGTTTTTTTAAACTGTGGTTTGTACTCTGGAAGCATGTTCGCAAGAGTATGTATTTAGAGTTGTTGTAAGGGTGTTTGTTGTACAGTGCAAAAAAGAAAGAAAACTGAAATACGTCTTTCTGTTTGTCGTAAGACTTGGGGAAAAAATATTTTTATTGTGCTTAAACTGTGACATTAAAGAACATTTCAAATTGACAAAAATACTTTTTGGGGTGTATTTAATTTTTTTTACCAGGTTCCCACAGTCATAAAAAAACATGAACAATTTTGAAAAAAGTTTTATTTTATTTTTCTTCAAAAGTTATATATTTTTTTTTAAAGCTGTATATTTCTAGTTATTCTCATCTCTAAAATCTTAAATATTTGGTCAGGTAGAAATTGCTCTTTGTGGGTCCAGTCCGTAAGAGAGGGAACCCTGTATTACTCTGAATGTATTACTTGTTCTTACTGTTCAGGACACAGTTAATGTTTAATTGGTGCTTGCTACACTTTAAAAGCTGAAAATATCAGTCATAATAGACCAAATATAGTCAGGATTATTTAGTGATAGATAATATTTAGGGCCCGAGCACCGATGGTGTGAGGACTCTATTGGAATTGCTCCGTTTCTTCTTCTCCAAAGTGAATCACATTTTTGAAGGCCTAAACATGCTCCAAAACTCATGAAACTTTGCACACGCGTCAGAACTGGCGAAAATGTACATCTTATATGGGATTCAGAAGTGGGTGTGGCAAAATGGCTCGATAGCGCCACCTGTACACATTCAACGGAGTGCGCCTCGAGCTAAGTTTTACGTACATGTACGAAAATCGGTACACACATGTAACACACCATTACCTACAAAAAAAGTATCTTGGTACAAAATCCAAAACCCAACAGGAAGTCAATTGTTTTGAATTTCCTGTACGATGTTTGTGCAGTTTTTGCCATTTCCAGGCCTCATACTTTGACAAACTCCTCCTACAGTTTTAATTGGATCATCTTCAAATTTGGTGAGGGTTATCTTAAGGCCTTTGTAACGTTAAATTGCGAAGATCTTGAGTTTTCGTCAAAGAGCGTGTCCCTGGCGGCCTGACAAAGTTTGATGTTTCGCCATGAAACAGGAAGTCGCTGTAACTCAGGCAAACAATGTCCGATCTGCCCTGCCCCAAACTTCACACGTTTGATAGGAGTTCTGTCCTGAACACATGTCCATGCCCAAATTCAGTTATAGTCATAGCGCCACCTCCTGGCAACAGGAAGTGTCGGTTAACACTGTTATGGACTTCTAGGAACATATTTAAAAGCGTCAACAAGTGTTAAATAGGCTGGCAACATGCTAGAAACATACTAAAACATGCTAGCAACACTTAGCTAAGTGCTAAAGCATGCTATTAATGCAGTGAAACGGGAAGTTGCTGTAGCTCAGGCATGCAGTGTCCAATCTGCCCCAAATTTAACAAGTTTTATAAGAGTCCTGTCCTGAACACATCTACATGCCCGTATTCGGTTATAGTTATAGCAGCGCCACCTACTGGCAACAGGAAGTGTCATGTTTAACACTGTGATGCACTATTAACAACACAGTAAAATATGTCATTGTGTGCTAAACATGCTAGAAATACGCTCAAACATGATAGCAACACTACACTAAGTGCTAAAGCATGCTATTAATGCAGTGAAACGGGAAGTTGCTGTAGCTCAGGCATGCAGTGTCCAATCTGCCCCAAATTTAACAAGTTTTATAAGAGTCCTGTCCTGAACACATCTACATGCCCGTATTCGGTTATAGTTATAGCAGCGCCACCTACTGGCAACAGGAAGTGTCATGTTTAACACTGTGATGCACTATTAACAACACAGTAAAATATGTCATTGTGTGCTAAACATGCTAGAAATAAGCTCAAACATGATAGCAACACTACACTAAGTGCTAAAGCATGCTATTAATGCCATGAAACAGGAAGTTGTTGTAACTCATGCATACAATGCCCAATCTGCCCCAAACTGCACACGTTTTATAAGAGTCCTGATCTGAACACATCTAAAGGCCAATATTCAGTTATAATTATAGCGCCACCTGCTGGCAACAGGAAATTACTTTTTCACACTAATTTAAACATGCAATGGCCGTTTCTCAATACCAAGAACGCAAAGTTCGACTTGCGTCCTTGGTAGTTCGGACTTTGCAAGTTCGACTCGGGAGTGCGAACTCCCGGGGACGGAAGGACGCAAGTCCGGTAATTCTGCAAATGGAACAGCAGCGTACTTGATAACGTCAGTCAGCTCGCCTTACTCTGGTTATCTACACTGTATGTATTTACAATACGACGAAATATGATATCAAACACCACTGTCAGGTGTGGATTAACGGACAGGCTTGGCTAGGCTGCAGCCTTGGGGCCCCACGTGTGCAGGGGCCTCGGATTGGCCGAACTATTTTTTTTATTATTTAAAATTTTCTTCAGCGCAAACAAAAAAGACCCTCATTGGCCCATAAGAAACATCAAAGGAGGATTCGTTGCAAAGCGTCTGACTAAATTAATGTCTTGTATTGTAGAATGCACGCTCAGCACCGCCGAGAGTTCGCGCGATCGTTAAATAAACCGAAAGTAAAACGCGCACGTGCATTCAAAAGCGATTTTAATGCCCCGCCGCGTTTTGAGAGCGACTCCCTGATGCGCGCAAATTAGGCTGCGTAACATATCTAGGCTGTTATTAGTATGTAGGCTAGGTTTTGTAGTTGTCTAGATATCATGCTTGAAAAAAATTGGTCTCTGTTTGCACTTTGAATATAGAGAGAGCACTTAATACGACTAAGAAAGAACTGTGTTTTGTTATTTATACTGTTTTTATTTCTATGTTCAATTTGTGAAAAGGAGTTCAAGTTGGAGGTCAAACGTTCTAGAAGCTCATAATTCATGTACAGTTCTAAGGTCTGAAGAGACTCACATGAAATCATACAGGAGAGATGCCACCCAGAGAGCAAAATGACTCCGGAGCGGATCCGTCCCGGAGTCACCACAAGTTCCGGAACGGATCCGCAAAACGGGTCCCTTATCGGAGTCCACTTGCACAGCGCAAGTTTGTAGTCCGTCCAGCAGGGCTGCCGTTTAGCCAGTAGTGGACGACTGGATTAACAGTGACTATAAGCAGGATAAAACTGCATTGTGGTCCTAGCAGCTCCTGGCCTGCCACGTTCATTGCTGGCCATAGGGGTCTGTGCAAAGGACTTGTCTGTTTCTCGTGGTCTTTGCTGAGGATCTGTGCTGATGTATGTCAATTCGTGATGTTCACTTGTCGTGGCCTTCACTGACATTCAGGGCTGTGTTGTGGTCGTCTCAGGGTGCAGGTCCATCATCTGATCTGGATACGGACCGGATCCGGCTGACTATGATAACCTTAGGACAAGAGTGCGACAAAAACATTGAAATAAGTAACAAGTATCAGTGTTGACTTTTTCTCACCGCACCTGTAATCACACAAGCACATTTTCATACAAAATTTCATGACATCTCATAGCAAAGATTACTGTTATATGTAGGATGTAAAAGTAGGTTATTACACGTTAAAAGCTGAAGTGTGTATCATTGTCAGTATTTGACAAACTAGTTGGCTAAATCAAATTTAAAACTCTATCTTACTTTTAAAGATGAAGTAGAATATCGAAGGATGATGTAGAATCAAAAACCAGACTGGAGCACTTGAATGAGCTGTGAAGCTGCAACAGAACACACACACACACACACACACAGTATGTTTTAATTTCATATAAATGATCTGAAACAACATTACAAGAGGTGGGGAATATATTTGTCAAAATATAAACAAAAATAGACTTGAGCTAATATTCTAGAACCAAAATTAAATGAAAAATATAGCATAATATCACCTGCAGTCAGGCACGTGCACAGGTAGGGCTCAACCTGTGCAGAGCACATGCCCTTACACTCCGAAGTGCCCTTTTTTGGTGATGGCGTTTTTCTTCTTCTTCAATAAATCAATGATATTGGTCACCTTTTACATCTGTCTGTCTGCTTTACAAATATTTAGCTAGTGAAAGGTATTAAAAAGAGCTTGTGACTGAATCTAGTTGGATCCGCTCAAACTGTCAGTAAAACCTCATAACTCCACACCCTCTGTCTTGACTGAATGAACTGAAGTTCCACAGCAGCTGAACTAGGTCTGCAAGGGTAAATAAAGATCTTGATGTTTGAATGAGTACAGCGTTTTCTTTACGCAAGAAACACTGTCTATAAAGGCTCATAATTGATGTATTTGAAACTGAGCGCCGCGCCCATATAGCTACAACAAACACCTTAATGGCGGACACAATGCACATTTGCACACATTCACTGGTCAAAAACCCCGTAACTGCATTTGAGTTTGACACAAAGCGACTGAGTGATCCTCGTCACTCAGGTAAAATATATTTCTAAGAAATGTATGATTGCTGATACACTTAATTTATTAACATTTAATCATATAATATGGTCACATGGCTAATTCATGTTTACGCTGTTAATATGCATGTATTCTAGCTAGCTAATTTTTTTTATCTAGTATTCTATACTCTCTGCTCGTCTTCAAATGTATTAATGTGGTAAAACATGGTTTTATTACAGTAATGTTGTAGTAACCAAAAAAACTTTACAGAATCAAATCACTGTGAAATCTTTATATTTTATCATGCATAATGTAATACATTATATATATTACATAGCTAAAAAAACTTTTTTCTTCAAACATAATTTTATTGAACTTTATGTGTGCAAAGCAGAGAAATATAGAATTGTGTATATATTGTATATATATATATATATCTTCAAAATATTGGATAAGAAAAAATTAGTAGTACAAAAATAAAAACGCCAATATTACAAAATATAACATTAAAAAGTGTATAAATCACTCGTTTTTCTAAAGAGTTTGCTAAACCAACCATTAGGCCACGACTGGGAAAGTCGTGGCCTAATGGTTAGCGAGTTGGACTCATAACCCGAAGGTTGCGGGTTCAAGTCTTGTACCGGCAGGGATTGTAGGGGGGGGGAGTGAATGTACAGTGCTCTCTCCCACCTTCAATACCACGACTGAGGTGCCCTTCAGCAAGGCACCGAACCCCTAACTGCTCCCCGGGCGCCGCAGCAAAACCGCCTCTTGTGTTCATGTGCGGTCTACGTTCGCGAATCAGTCTGAATGAACAATATAATGGCATTAATGGGAAAACTCATTTAAACAAGTAAACAACTCACACACTTAGATGTAACTACTTTATTACGTCAAAATAAGACTTGAAATGGTCTGAAAACATGATCTGTGGGAGTTTTTAGTGAGTAAATCAGCTTGTTGAAATTTAAAGTAAATTTCTGTGTCTGTGACCAATATTTACTGAGCTTTGATGACTGATGAACCGAATAATTCAAAAATAGTTAAAAGTTAACTATTAAAAAGAATAGCTGAACATAAGTTCACAAATAAAATATTTTGTTTAAATTGTTACTGCCTTGAGTTATTATTTTGGAATAAATGTAAAATGCTTAAAAACTTGATGAGATTCATACTTGGCTTTAATAAACAGAATATTGATTACATTGTTAATGTAAAAATATAAAATAGAATTGTATTTGTTGTTGTTGTTGTTTTCTGGTAGTGTGAGTAATGTTTATTTAACCAGGAACATGTGACTGAGACAGGAATTTACATTTGATTTAAAAAAAAAAGGACGTTGCCTCCTCATTTCAGAACACCACCTGTATGTATGTATGTATATGTGT